CGAAGACCGAAGAAGAACGCACGCAACACCTGAAATGGGTGTTAGGAAAACTGCGAGAGCATAAATTCTTTGCTCGATTGTGGAAGTGTCACTTCTACAAACGCGAGTTGGAATACCTTGGTCACTTGGTAGGCAACGATGGCCTCAAAGTTGATCCAAAGAAAGTGGCGGCAGTCCAACAGTGGCCCGTTCCACAGGACGTGGGACAGGTCAGATCATTTCTTGGACTTGCGAACTATTTTCGCCGTTTCTTGGAAAATTATTCCTCCGTAGTCGCCCCACTGACTGCCCTCACTCGTAAGGGTAATGCTTGGCAGTGGACCGATCAATGCCAGAAGGCATTTGAGGAGGTGAAAACCATGCTGACCAATGCTCCAGTGCTGGCTTTGCCAGACCCGTCCAAGCCCTACGAGGTGGTAACTGATGCCTCGACAGTAGGGATTGGAGCAGTTCTTTTGCAAGAAGGACGCCCCGTGGCATTTGAGAGTAGAAAGCTTTCACCGGCTGAGCAGCGCTATACAACTTCCGAACAAGAATTGTTGGCGGTTGTGCATGCGCTACGAACATGGAGATGTTATCTCGAAGGTGTTGACTTTGTGGTCACGACCGACCACTGTCCGAACACCTATTTTGCCACTCAAGCCACACTCACCCGCCGTCAAGCTCGATGGGCTGAACTCCTGAGTGGGTTCACCTACGATATTCGATATCGAGCGGGCTCGACGAACATGGCTGATCCTCTGAGCAGACAGCCGATTGGGGCAGCAACGGGTGTTGATGATAAGGAACATGAAGCTGTGTTTGCTGCTTGTTTCAACATCCTCGCAGCTGCTCGAGTGAGCGAGATTGCCTTTGGTGGTTTTCTGAAACGCATCCGCGCAGGGTATGATATTGACCCTTGGTTTCAGAACCCACAGAATACAAACAATCTCTTGTGGGAGCATGAGCTCTGGTGGCACAAGAAAGAAATTGTAGTCCCACATGTGGGAAACCTGCGGAATGATATTCTCGCAGAGGTGCACGCCACTAAGTATGGAGGACACCTGGGTGTCAAGAAAACCCGGTGGGCCCTCAGTGATGTATACTGGTGGCCGGGATTGGGCATTGAGGTCCAGCAGTTTGTAACTCGCTGTGACACGTGTGCACGGAACAAGCCGAGCACACAGAAGCCTGGTGGTCTGCTTCAACCACTTGAGATTCCCGATGAACCTTGGGAGAGTGTATCGATGGATTTTATCACCGATCTCCCCAAGACGCGAGATGGTCATACAGCGATACTAGTGTTTGTGGATCGCTTGACCAAAATGGTGCACTTCGTGCCCACGACGACTGACGTGTCTGCGGAAGATACGGCAAAGTTGTTTGTGACACACGTTTTCTGCTTACACGGTTTGCCTCGTGTGATGGTGTCTGACCGAGACCCGCGCTTCACAAGCCGGTTCTGGCAAGAGGTCATTAAGACACTCGGAACAAAACTCAAGATGTCGTCTGCGTTCCACCCGCAAACGGATGGACAGACAGAGCGGACCAACCGCACTCTTGAGCAAATGCTTCGTTCTTTCATAAGCCCAACTCAGGACGATTGGGATGAATTGTTGCCAGTCGTGGAATTCGCTGTAAACAATTCTGTGCATGAAAGCACCCATGAGAAACCCTTTGTCCTGAACTGTGGTCGGCACCCCACAACCCCCGCGACGCATGGGATTAAGAACCTCAAAATCCCTGCCGCAAAGGACTTTATTGGAAAACAGCAAGCGACATTGAAGTTCGCTCGCCATTGGCTGCAGCTTGCCCAACAGAGGCAAAAGTCCTATGCTGACATGAAACGCCGGGAAGTCGTCTTTGCAGTTGGCGACAAAGTATTACTGAGTACGAAGAACATTCGTCTCAAGATCGCGGGAGCACGAAAGCTTTTCCCTCGTTGGATTGGGCCCTTCGAGGTGATTGCGCGTGTTGGTGAGGTCGCATATAGGCTCAAATTGCCTGCGACATTGCAGATTCACAACGTCTTCCACGTGTCTCTGTTGAATAAGTACGTTGCAGAAGGCAAGTACTTACCGCCACCAACCATCGCTCTCGAGAAGGAACTCTTTTATGAAGTCGAGCGTGTGCTAACGCACCGTGATCGACAACGTGGCCGCAAAACTGTTCGTGAGTTCCTAATTCAGTGGAAAGGCTATGGGCCAGAACACAACTCTTGGGAGCCTGAGGAACACTTGACCGAAGCAGCGGTTCAAGCGTATATGGAAGACCTGGCTCTACGAGCAGGCCCACAACCAGTGGACGGGGTTGACCCTGGTCGTAATGTGGTGCGCCATGCTCGAAGCACTCGTCCTCAGAAGCACCCTAGGGCAACGGGGACGTTGCCACCTGGGGGGGGAGGAGTGTAACGTATTACCCTAACTACCGAGCTAACAACCATCGATCTCTCTCTAAGTCAATTGTTGAGAACTTCTCTCGACAAAGGAAGAGTTGGAGAAGATGGTTGAGTTGGTTGGGATGAAACTTGGTTTGGGTTTGCCAAGCCTCAACTTTGGAGGTTTGGAACATTTCCAACTCAACCAAGAGAATGTTGAAGGTTGGAATTCCAACCAATCAGAAACTACCAAACAAGTGTTACAATCTACTCTATCCTAAACACAACCATTGAATGGTTCTAAGTTGGGTTTTCCAACCCAACACAATTGCCACATAGGCTCCAAGCCTAGGAACCATCCCACCATGGAAACCATGGTTGGGATAGTTCCCCAAGGGGTGTATTGAGGGGGTCTGAGCTAAGCAAGCTCATTCTCAACCTCCCACTCCAACAAAACAATTGGAAATGGGATTGTTTCTCTAAGTCCTTTTGGGCTCTCTCACAAGTCTCCCTACACTACTACTCCAAGTGCTTTTCATCAAAGGCATCAAGAAGATCTTCATCTCCAAGGCTATTAAGGCTAGTTAAAGCTACTATTTTGTATTGGAATATTATAAAAGCCTTGTAACCGCCATTATAATAGCCCTGGGCATTACATATATCCGATCGCGCGTGAAGCGACACTCGTTCGGGTTCTTCCATCCCTTCACCAACGATGGGGGAGGCGGCGAGCGGGTGCTGTGGTGCGCCGTACGCGCTATACAGGTACTCGTTACTGAATACCCGCGATACGAATTCGCGCCATTTGATACGCGCTATAGTGTTACTCGCAGATGGTACATGGGGCTGTATGTCTATTCGCCTCCTCATTTTCCGCTCACATGTAGTATTATTATCAACACTCCAATCACAGTTCATCTCGTCTCCGCCTATTCCTGGGTAAAGAGCATTCTACCCGCCTGTTTTTCGGGTATCTTGGGCGTTTACCCTCCAGGAGCTTGACCCCTTGGCGCAATGCTTCGTGTACACTGGCGACGTGGCGTCTCCTGATTCGCTGGCGGAGAGAGCACACAACCTGTTCGGGGTGGTCCTGCCCCGGCCAGTGGAGGTAATGTGTTGTGTCATGTGGTTACCACCCAGCGTTACCACGCTTGGTGGTTTTCCACTCTGGGTTAACACGTTTGAGTGCTCCAGCCAGTGGAGGTAACGTGTTGTGTCATGTGGCTACCACGTTCGAGTGGTTACCACGTTCGAGTGGTTACCACGTTCGAGTGGTTACCACGTTCGAGTGGTTACCACGTTCGAGTGGTTACCACGTTCGAGTGGTTATCACGTTCGAGTGGTTACCACGTTCGAGTGGTTACCACGTTCGAGTGGTTACCACGTTCGAGTGGTTACCACGTTCGAGTGGTTACCACGTTCGAGTGGTTACCACGTTCGAGTGGTCTTGCCCGGCCAGTCGAGGTAACCTGTCCTACCGCCATTAGGTCGAGGCCTCCCTGTATCCACGCTTCACTCTCCTCGCCCACTCACTCTCGCTCCCTCTCCCACGATCCGCGTGCTTCTCTTCCCTTGCCCCACTTACTAACCCAGGTTCTCCGCCTGTCCTACCACCATCTAATTGAAGAATCGCTCCACTCTCCTCGCCCACTCACTCTCGCTCCCTCTCCCACGATCCGCGTGCTTCTCTTCCCTTGCCCCACTTACTAACCCAGGTTCTCCGCCTGTCCTACCACCATCTAATTGAAGAATCGCTCCACTCTCCTCGCCCACTCACTCTCGCTCCCTCTCCCACGATCCGCGTGCTTCTCTTCCCTTGCCCCACTTACTAACCCAGGTTCTCCGCCTGTCCTACCACCATCTAATTGAAGAATCGCTCCACTCTCCTCGCCCACTCACTCTCGCTCCCTCTCCCACGATCCGCGTGCTTCTCTTCCCTTGCCCCACTTACTAACCCAGGTTCTCCGCCTGTCCTACCACCATCTAATTGAAGAATCGCTCCACTCTCCTCGCCCACTCACTCTCGCTCCCTCTCCCACGATCCCTTCCCCTCTCTTCCCTTGCCCCACTTACTAACCCAGGTCGTCCGCCTGTCGTACCGCCATCTAGTGGAAGCCTCCCTCTACCCGCGCTTCACCCTCTTCAATCCATTAACTTCAACAATTGCCCCTCACTCCCCCCACTCTCTCCTTTCTCCTAAAGGTCGTCCGCCTGTCGTACCGCCATCTAGTGGAAGCCTCCCTCTACCCGCGCTTCACTCTCCCCGGCCAGTCCTTTCATTTCTCCTGGTTCTCCCAATGGTTACCCCCTTCCCCCATCCCCTCCTAAAGGTCGTCCGCATGTCCTTCCGCCATCTAGTGGAAGCCTCCTTTTACCCACGCTTCACCCTCCTCGCGCAATCACTCCCCCGCTCTTCCTTCCCCCTTCCCTCTTCCAACCTCCTTTCTCCTTCCCACTTCTCCGTTCCCACAAACCCAAGCTTCCCTCTACCCGCGCTTCACAGTTGAATTTTGTTGGATTCGAAACGCAGCAAGCCTACTAAGAGTAACGATCTTTTGCAGCTTCCAACCTCCTTTCTCCGTTCCCACAAACCCAAGCTTCCCTCTACCCGCGCTTCACCTTTCTCGGCCAATCACTGGGCTCCATGGCTCTCGCACTCACTCAAGCCTTCACACACAAATCCCGTTCCCCCTCTGCTCTACCCCTCTCCCCCTTCCTTCCCCCACCCTTCTCCCTTCCCCAGCCCTTCTCCCTTCCCGAGCCCTTCTCCCTTCCCCTTCCCTTCTCCCTTCCCCCTAAAGGTCGTCCGCCTGTCCTACTGCCATCTAGTGGAGGCCTCCCTCTACCCGCGCTTCACTCTCCTCTCCCAATCACTTCAACTCTTTCCCCCATTCCCCCACCTCCGCTTGCCCTTTCCCCCTAAAGGTCGTGCGTCTGTCCTACCGCCATCTAGTGGAAGCTTCCCTCTACCCGCGCTTCACACTCATCGGCCAATCGCTGGGCTTCATGGCTCTCGCACTAGAGGCTGTTCTCCGCCGCCCGCCCGCTGTTTTCGTGGATACTGCCGGATACGCCTTCTCCTATCCTGTAGTGACGCTGCTGTTAGGGGGACGAGCAGCAGCAGGAGGAGGGGGAGGGAAGGGGGGAGGGTGTTTGGTGGTGAGCTATACGCACTATCCGACGATCAGTGGAGACATGCTGCAGCGGGTGCAGCAGCGCACTAGCATGTACAACAACGATGATACTGTTGCGAGCAAGTGGGTGCAAGGAGTTGACGCAAGAAATGGAGTGGGTGACAGGGTGTAAGGAGCGGGTGCAAGGTGAGGAGAGGAGGGGGAGGGTGTTTGGTGGTGAGCTATACGCAGTACCCGACGATCAGTGGAGACATGCTGCAGCGGGTGCAGCAGCGCACTAGCATGCATAACAACGATTACACTGTTGCCAACAGGTGGGTGTAAGGAGTGGGGAAGGGAGAGATAGCGGGGAGATAGGGGGACGACAGGGGGACATGGCATGTTGCAGAGAGTGCAGCAGTGCACTAGCATGTACAACAACGATGACACTGTTGCCAGCAGGGAGTGGGCGCAAGGAGTGGGGAAGGGCGAGATAGGGGGGAGATAGGGGCAAGACAGGGGGACATGGCATGTTGCAGCGTTTGCAGCAGCGCACTAGCATGTGTAACAACGATGATACTGTTGCTCAACTATAACCGTTTTGTTGCCTTCCTTTGTGGATGGGTGGGGGGGCACGCTGATGTCACCATGGTCAACTCCTTCTGATCGGAACAGTTGCTTTCCCATGTTTTCCCATACACTCCCACCCTCTCACTTTTGAGGCGCCTCAAAAGTCGTCTCATTACCCGCAATATTTTTTTAGGCGCCTCAAAAACCGGAACAGTTGCTGTCCCATTGTTTTCCCATCCACTCCCACCCTCTCACCCCACTTCCAGGCTCCAGCGCCCTCCTCTCCTCCTCCAATCCATTCTCTACTCCTATCGCCGCTTTGGCCCCCTCTACGGGTGGGCGGGCGGGCCTGCTGATAGTATCGCCATGTTCAATGCCCTTGTGTTCCTTTCCACTCCCTCTCTCCCTGTCCCCAATCACCAGCGCCCTCCTCTCCTCCTCCAATCCATTCTCTACTCCTATCGCCGCTTTGGCCCCCTCTACGGGTGGGCGGGCGGGCCTGCTGATAGTATCGCCATGTTCAATGCCCTTGTGTTCCTTTCCACTCCCTCTCTCCCTGTCCCCAATCACCAGCGCCCTCCTCTCCTCCTCCAATCCATTCTCTACTCCTATCGCCGCTTTGGCCCCCTCTACGGGTGGGCGGGCGGGCCTGCTGATAGTATCGCCATGTTCAATGCCCTTGTGTTCCTTTCCACTCCCTCTCTCCCTGTCCCCAATCACCAGCGCCCTCCTCTCCTCCTCCAATCCATTCTCTACTCCTATCGCCGCTTTGGCCCCCTCTACGGGTGGGCGGGCGGGCCTGCTGATAGTATCGCCATGTTCAATGCCCTTGTGTTCCTTTCCACTCCCTCTCTCCCTGTCCCCAATCACCAGCGCCCTCCTCTCCTCCTCCAATCCATTCTCTACTCCTATCGCCGCTTTGGCCCCCTCTACGGGTGGGCGGGCGGGCCTGCTGATAGTATCGCCATGTTCAATGCCCTTGTGTTCCTTTCCACTCCCTCTCTCCCTGTCCCCAATCACCAGCGCCCTCCTCTCCTCCTCCAATCCATTCTCTACTCCTATCGCCGCTTTGGCCCCCTCTACGGGTGGGCGGGCGGGCCTGCTGATAGTATCGCCATGTTCAATGCCCTTGTGTTCCTTTCCACTCCCTCTCTCCCTGTCCCCAATCACCAGCGCCCTCCTCTCCTCCTCCAATCCATTCTCTACTCCTATCGCCGCTTTGGCCCCCTCTACGGGTGGGCGGGCGGGCCTGCTGATAGTATCGCCATGTTCAATGCCCTTGTGTTCCTTTCCACTCCCTCTCTCCCTGTCCCCAATCACCAGCGCCCTCCTCTCCTCCTCCAATCCATTCTCTACTCCTATCGCCGCTTTGGCCCCCTCTACGGGTGGGCGGGCGGGCCTGCTGATAGTATCGCCATGTTCAATGCCCTTGTGTTCCTTTCCACTCCCTCTCTCCCTGTCCCCAATCACCAGCGCCCTCCTCTCCTCCTCCAATCCATTCTCTACTCCTATCGCCGCTTTGGCCCCCTCTACGGGTGGGCGGGCGGGCCTGCTGATAGTATCGCCATGTTCAATGCCCTTGTGTTCCTTTCCACTCCCTCTCTCCCTGTCCCCAATCACCAGCGCCCTCCTCTCCTCCTCCAATCCATTCTCTACTCCTATCGCCTCTTTGGCCCCCTCTACGGGTGGGCGGGCGGGCCTGCTGATAGTATCACTGACCGATGCCCTCGTTTTGCCACTACACTCTCCAGCAGGCGGGTATGCTGACATTATGACCAATATCCATGTGTTCCTACTACCCTGGCCCCCCAATCACCAGTGCCCTCCTCTCCTCATCCAAGCTCTACTACTATCGCTTCTTCGCATATCTGTACGGGTGGGCGGGCGGGCATGCTGACGTCACCATGGTCAACTCCTCCTGGACCGAGGGCCACATTCGGCGAATCTGGACGCGCAACAAGCCGAGCTCCGTGCACCGGGTGTACCCCCCCTGCGACACCGCTGCACTGCAGGTGAGTGTCTGGTTGTTGTTCGAAGTATTACTTAGTTTGCAAAGGTGCCGCAGATTTGATGAATCTGGAAGCGCAACAAGCCGATCTCTGTGCACCGGGTGTACCCCCCCTGCAAGCACCGCTGCTCTCCAGGTGACTCTGGTTCTATTCCCCATAATAGAATCTGGACGTGCAACAACACGAGCTCCGTGCACCGGGTTTACCCCTCCTGCGATACCGCGGCTCTCCAGGTGAGTGTTTGATTGTTGTTTCGCAGTATGACCGGGCCTGCTCACGTGCTGCACACATTCGGCGAATCTGGACGCACAACAACGAGCCGAGCTCCATGCACCAGGTGTCACTCTGTGCGTGCAGTTGTGAGTAACGTGCTCAGCGAATCTGGATACGCAACAACAAGCCGAGCTCCATGCACCGGGTGTACCCCCCTCAGTGATCCTCCTTTCTTCCCTCCTTCCCACCCACCCCCCCCCCCCCCCCCCCCCCCCTCTCCTTACCCTCCCCTCCAGGCCCTCCCTCTCTCGCGCTCCTCTCCAGGTTACATCATCTCTGTCGCCCAGTTCCGGCCAGCAAAGGTACACCTTAAGATACACACTCACTCACTTCCTCCGATTGTGCTCCCCCAATCCTCGCTTTACACCTTTCTCTCTCTCGTGCTGGCATGCATCATCTCTGTTGCCCAGTTCCGACCCGAAAAGGTACTTTTCGGGTACCTTTTCTGTGCCTTTGGTCTTTTCACTCTCAAGTGAATATATAGGACGTGGAAAGGATCAGGACAGTGCATGTGAAGAACCCATGGTACGGTCGTTGAAAATGGCACAGTGCATTGCATTTTGAAATATCTTGATATGTAAGAAATGCATCGTCAAGTTAGACAGATGACTCCTGCTCTTACTTAACACTGTATGCATGTTACACCTGCAATCACATTACCAGGCACATATTTCTGACATTATGTGGCTCGTGCTATTGCTTCTCTATTGAGCCTCATTACTAGTCACCTCTTTAACATCCTATCCACTCCTCCCTCCTCTTCTCCCTTCCCCTCCTCGTCCCTCACTCATCTCCTCCTCCCTCACTCGCCTCCCCACTCTCGTGTCTCTCAGAACCACCACGCATTGCAGCTCCGAGCTTTTGCACAGGCCATAAAGCCCACAGCACCATCCGATCCAACGGCTGACGCTCCGTCCAAACCTGATCCGATGGCTGGTGTGCGTTTGAAGCTGGTGGGCAGCAGCAGACACCGGGAGGACGAAAAGCGCATTGAGCTTCTGGGGTGCCTGGCAGTGTCGCTGGGAATAGAAAGACGTGTTGATTTCATTGTCAACACTCCCTTCAGGTGAGTGGGAGATTCAACACTCCCTTGAGGCACTGTGTGCATGGGTGTGTGAACCCCGTAGGCAGCAGCCGGCACCGAGAGGTCGAGAAGCGGATCGAGCTGCTGGGATGCCTGGCTGTGTCTCTCGGCATAGAGAGGCGCGTGGACTTCATTGCCAACACGCCCTTCAGGTGAGGGAGTGGCACAGCACAGCACCTCAGAGTGTGTCTGTGAACCCAACAGGCAGCAGCCGGCACCGGGAGGACGAGAAGCAGATTGAACTTCTGGGGTGCCTGGCGGTGTCTCTGGGAATAGAGCGGCGGGTTGATTTTATCATCAACACTCCCTTCAGGTAACTTAGTCAACGCAGAACAGCGAGGTATGTGTGCGTGTGTGTGCGAACCCAGTAGGCAGCAGCCGGCACCGGGAGGAAGAGAAGCGCATTGAACTTCTGGGGTGCCTGGCGGTGTCTCTGGGAATAGAGCGGCGGGTTGATTTTATCATCAACACTCCCTTCAGGTAACTTAGTCAACGCAGAACAGCGAGGTATGTGTGCGTGTGTGTGCGAATCCAGTAGGCAGCAGCCGGCACCGGGAGGACGAGAAGCGGATTGAACTTCTGGGGTGCCTGGCGGTGTCTCTGGGAATAGAGCGGCGGGTTGATTTTATCATCAACACTCCCTTCAGGTAACTTAGTCAACGCAGAACAGCAAGGTATGTGTGCGTGTGTGTGCGAACCCAGTAGGCAGCAGCCGGCACCGGGAGGACGAGAGGCGGATTGAGCTTCTGGGGTGCCTGGTGGTGCCTCTGGGAATAGAGCGGCGGGTTGATTTTATCATCAACACTCCCTTCAGGTAACTTAGTCAACGCAGAACAGCGAGGTATGTGTGCGTGTGTGTGCGAACCCAGTAGGCAGCAGCCGGCACCGGGAGGACGAGAGGCGGATTGAGCTTCTGGGGTGCCTGGTGGTGCCTCTTGGAATAGAAAGGCGCGTGGACTTCATCGTCAACACTCCCTCCCAGTGAGATGAGAGAGAGGGGCAACACTCCCTTTGGGTACCTCAGAGTATGCGTTTGAAGCTGGTGGGGAGAAGCGCATTGAGCTGCTGGAATGCCTGCCGTCAGAGTATGTGCCTGGCAGTGTCTCTTGGCATTGAGAGACGCGTCGACTTCATTGTCAACACTCCCTTCAGGTGCCTCAGTCATTCAGTGTGACGGCAGTGCGTGTGCATCTCAGGCTTGTGTGTGCGCCGGCACAAGGTGAGCCCATAGGTGAACCCAGTAGGCAGCAGCCGGCACCGGGAGGACGAGAGGCGGATCGAGAAGCTACCAGGTGGTGCCACCTGTGGGATACACACCATGCCTGGGTCTTCACTTCACTGTTTCTATCTCTGTTACCACACTGTACCGCATTGCACCCATGTGTTTGTCATTGCATGGCAGGGAGCTGCAGCAACTACTAGGCGGCGCCACGTGCGGACTACACACCATGTGGGACGAGCACTTTGGCATCAGTGTGGTTGAATACATGGCAGCAGGGGCCGTGCCCGTTGGTGAGTCAATTACAGGCTCTGGTCAGCTGGTGTCCAGGAATACGTACCACCACTGGGGCAGGCGCCACGTGCGGACTACACACCATGTGGGATGAGCATTTTGGCATCAGCGTGGTTGAATACATGGCAGCCGGAGCTGTCCCAGTTGGTGAGTCTTTTAAAGGCGCCACCTGTATGGTACTCACCACTTCACACCACACCATGTGGGACAAGCACTTTGGTATCAGCGTTGTCGAATACATGGCAGCAGGGGCTGTTCCTATAGGTGAGTCTGTTACACTAGGGTAGGCGTCACCTGTGGGGTAGGCGTCACCTGTGGGGTAGGCGTCACCTGTGGGGTAGGCGCCATCTGTGGGGTAGGCGTCACCTGTGGGGTAGCCGCCATCTGTGGGGTAGGCGTCACTTGTGGGGTAGGCGTCACCTGTGGTGCCTGGATACCTGTGGGGCACTTTGGCATCAGCGTGGTTGAATCCATGGCAGCCGGGGCCGTCCCCATAGGTGGGTGCATGTGATGGAAGGTAATGGCTACCACTGGGGTAGGAATCACCTGGTGTAAGCACCACGAGCGGCATACACACCATGCGGGACTAGCATTTTGGCATCAGCATTGTCGAATACATGGCAGCCGGGGCTGTCCCCATCGGTGGGTCCATTATTTTCTTGGAGTACCCAAGGTGCATCTGGCAAGGCGCGCCGCGCGCCTAGTACCACTACTAGCACGTACCGCTGGCATACCTTGCCACATGCCCTTGGTCGGTTACTTGCTCTGCTCTGCTTTTCCCTGCAGGCCCCAAAACGGAGATTGTATTGCCTGCCATGCTGGCTGCAGAAAAGAAGAGCAGGAGAGAAGGGGGGAGACGAGGAATGATAAAGATAGGAGGAAGACCCATCTCAGAAATGCTTGCTTCCCCTCATTCCTTCTTCCTTGCTTCCTTGTGTTTCCTTTGTCTGCTCTGCTCTTTCCTTCAGCACACAACTCTGCCGCCCTGAAAATGGACATTGTAGTGCCGGCCTGTCATGCTGGTTGCAGGAGAAAACAAGGATAGGAAAACCCATTTTTCCCCATCATGCTGGGATATGAGGGAGATGAGAAGGACGAGGAAGACCCATCTTACCCACACATCCTCTTGCCTTCTCCTGTGTGTCTCTTTCCGCTGTTCCTTGGTTGCTCTTTCCTTCAGCACACAACTCTGCTGGCCCGAAAATGGACATTGTAGTGCCGGCCTACCATGCTGGTCTGGGGAGAAAAGAAGAAGGACAACTCTTTTAACTCCTCAACTCATTGCTCCCTCAACTCCTTTACTCCCACACCCCTCTTCCCCCTTTCAAATTGACCTTTTCCATCTCTATAGTCCAAGTTTGAACACAGCAGATGTGGGGTGGGGGTGTCACTGTCACTACGCCCTTCAAATCAATCAGTGCCCTCACTCATTTCTTTGCGTCATAACTCCCTCGGACACACTCCCCCTCCTTTGCTTACTTGCAGATTGACATCTTTCATCTGTACGGTCGTGGCCTGAACACAATAGACGTGGGAGTGTCGGCCTTACCCTCCCTTGTACCGCTTATTGTTTTTTTCCGCT